AGAGAGAGAGAGAGATAGAGAGAGAGAGAGAGAGAGAGAGAGAGGGATAACATTAGCAAAAAAAATTTCAACTTAAATTGTGATAAATAGAAAAGGTTGATGAACTTATCAGACTGCATTTTTCACTCTTGAAGCGTAAATATGACTTTACTGTAGTTAATCTTTGTGCCATTTTTTCCCCTCACCTCCTCCATCCCTCTTGGTGCATGGTTTGCTGACTAGTTCCTCAGCCTTACACTTGTCTGCGTCTCCCTTGATGAGTTTCTTCACCCTGGTCCGGGCGTTTGTCTTGGGATCACACTCCCCCCAGTCACCAAACGTATACTTGCACGCTGCGAGAAGAAACAGAGGACTGTGTGAGAAAACAGAGCCAGACAGTTCAAATATAGTAAAGCACACACACACATATACAGCCATATACAGTCAAATGATAATAAATAATAATAATAAATTACACTTTTATATGTCCCTGAAGGGCAATGGTAAACATACATACAATACATACATAAATACACAATTATAAATCGACGGGATGCAGAAGTCTTTTCATTCAGTATGAATGTTGCTAAGTTGGTGCTTCAAATTTGAAGAATATACTCGTAAAATAAAAAACTTGGGTCCTGAAAATCTGTTTGATATGTGCATGTTTCACTGTGTGCATGTTTAGTACGGGCTTGCTGGACTGTAGTTAGAAACATATTGCAAAAGTATCAGAAAACACAACATCATTAAACTAGTAGAAAAATAAACTTCTGATGCCGATAGAGAACATCTAATTCATACCCTCTGAAATGTCACTTCCAAATTTGTTAAATAAATGTGTATCAAACACAAGGATAAGGAAGGTCTTTTGCAGAGTGTGGCATATGATGGACTTCGGGCACCTTCCAATGCTGAAAGTTTTTTAAGGATTCAGATCTCCAAAAGGTTACTCTCCGCCATGATCAAGCTAAGACTAAGAGAATGGAGAGTCATGATAAAGACACCTTGAGATCCCACCTTTCTTTAATTCATGATAAGACACACTATGACCCCACCTTTCTTGCACTTCTTTGTGATCTCCCTGGTCGGTGCACATTCTCGGGCGTTTCCTTTGACCAGCGTGTCCACTCGTGTGGTCAGCTCCGTCTTGTCGTCACAGTCAGACCACTCACCACGCCTGAATTTGCAAGCTGTTCGGAGAATAGGAATTATTGAAATAATAATCTCTATTTATGGAGTAGGCTATTTTGTACTCAAAGGGTGGAAGTAAAGAATGCTCTTTTTTTCATTAAAATGTTTATATATCATTTGTATCCATAATTTATTTCTTACGCATTCACCTGTCACATAATTTTAAAATGCAATACCTCTTTGACTGTAATGTACATTGAGCACACAGAAAGTGCAACATGAAAGCTATTTATTATTATTATATATCATTATTATTATCATTTAAAAAAATTCTATTTGAGAAATTAAAACACAATATTTCCATTATCAGCAGAAGAGACATCTATATCGCTATTTGATAAGCAACTTGTACTATGGAAGTGAACCAAGTTGTGATTTATATCTTTTCTCAGACCTGAGACGTGACACCTTTCAGTAAGTTGAAAACGTCTTCGTCCAGACCCTGGTGAGGTGAGAGGTTTACAGTTGATTTAACCAGGAGGAGGAGGAGGAACAAGAAAACCCAAAAGAACAAGAAGTCGAGACAATACCAAAAGTATTTTCACATGTCATATACACCCCCTCAATAACTAGAATAGAAAAAAATCAAACCAAACTGAAACAAAATAAACAAAATCAACCCAAAGATTAGAGAACTACTCTAGAAAAGTGCAACAATTCACCAATTTTGCATTTCCGTGTGAGTTTCTTCCAGCGCATGCATACATTGGGGTCACCACTCTTGAGTGTCATCATCTGTGTCATCGTGTTCGTTCGGAGGTCGCACGGGCTCCACTCACTCAAGCTGTATTTGCATTCTGGGGAAACACACGCATAACATTTCATTGACAAAAAGGCCCTAAGACAGGAAACCTTGCCAACCACACTTGCAATCTAGGGGAGAAATGAAAAACATATAAACTACAAAAGGGTCTTGAGACAGGAAAAGTGGCCAACCCCATCAACACAACAGCAGAAGCTATAAATAAAGGGTAACAGAAGAACTAAACAGGACGGCTTGGCATATGGCAGATATCAAGCTTCAAGTATGATGCCATAAAGAAGGAGAAGACATCGATGACAAAAGGGCCTTTACGATTTAGATAAATTTCTAATAACAGTATCATACTATGGCACGCTGAGAACCAAGAGGAGCGGAAGAAGAAGCAGGGTAAATTCTACAATGGCATCCCAATGGTCAGAAAATGTGAAAGTGAAAATGAAACAACAAAAGATAAAGACTGGTTGGTGCCAGTCCGTTTGATGGTCTACCACGATGTTTCTGTTCTTGACGGTCCCCTACCAGTCCAGTGTCACTTGATTGTCTGCTAGTCTGCTCTCAGGTGTTTAATAAAAAAAAAGGGGCGGGGGTAGGAATAAACAGGGGGGTGTGGACAGGTGGTCCAAATTTAATAAAAAGGGGTGGTGGGGGTGGCACATTCAACCTCATACCTCTGTACTAGTAGTAGGGGTAAATCGGTTTTATTTCTCTTTCAGTGAATAAAAGAACAAGAGACTAGGAAATTTCAGTAAGTTACTGTGACAACTTTTCCCATTTAGGAACAAACCAGTTTAATAAAAAATATATAAACCATTGTACAAAAGTCTTAAAAATGCACAGAAAATTGAGGTAGCCAACCTGGTACCCGTACTAATACTGATGGTAATTTGCCATTTACAACAAAAAAAAAAAGAAAAAAAGAAGTTTCATTCAACAATCTAGGTTTTATTGGCCTATATGTTTTACATGATCGTCGGTCATGGCAAGCTGAAAAATAATAAACGGGGTGCACAAAAAAACCCCTGAAAATTAATAAGCAGGGGGAATGCTTATTCGATACCTTAGAGCACTGCAATCAACAACCCTGACCCTATTCTTAACCCCAACCCTAATCTATATAATAGCCTTAGCCCTAACCCCAACTAACTGACACAGCACAGGTAGACTGGCAAGTGGACAGGAACCGACTGGTCTCTTTACGCCAGGAACCGACTGGTCTCTTTACGCCAGGAAAGTGGGTAAAAGGCAACAAGAATAATTAATTGTTAAAGATAAACGTTTGGGAAAGGGACGTAACCTCAACCAATATTCGTTATAAAAAAGACACTTTATTACATGATTATCTCCCTTCGTTTATGCACACGTTGGAAATATTATTATTGGTCAGTGATAGGCCCAGAGATCGTAAATACGGAATTTACGGTCTTTGTTAGGCCTAAACAAAGGAGCTTAGAACTGTTAACTACTTTGTCTACACAAAAATAACCGCTGTGTGTGTGAGTGAGTGTGTGTGTGTGTGTGTGTGTGTGTGTGTGTGTGTGTGTGTGTGTGTGTG